TTTTGATATAAAAATAATGAAAAAAAAAAAAAATTAGAAAAAAAAAAAAATTTGTTTGGTGAATGGGAAATGAAGTTATTTTTTTTGTGCAGATTTAAAGGGTATTTGTGTGGTTTGTATGTGTATGTGTTAATTATAATAAAGCCTCAAAAAAAAAAAAAAATTAAAAAATTAAAAAATTAAAAAAAAATTAAAAAAAAAAAAAAAAAAATTTTCCATCCCCCATTAATTATTGATATTTTTTATTGAAATACACACTATTGGATACAAAAATTCACACCTATCAAAATCAGAATCAGTGTGTAATAGGAATAATATGATAGTATTTGATTTATTGTTATTGAGAAAAAAAAAAAAAATTATTTTATTTTTGTCAAAGTTTTATTTAAGTTTAATATTTTTTTTTTAATTTTTTTTTTTTTTCTAATAATATAAAATAATAACATATGGCGATTCTCTTTTTTTTTTTTTTTTTTTTTTTTTTGAAACACTATTATTGCTTTGAAAATTGTTGTTGGGATGCTAGTAATTGAGAGGATGAATATTCACCTATTTTAATCATTTTTTCTTTTGGCTTGGTCTCATTATTGAGGTCAACTAACCAAATGTCTTTATCTTTCTTTGTTGGAAGTGAAATAGTATAAATTAAAACGTCAATGGAGTCAAGTGAGCCAACAATAATACGGATCATTGAATCTGTGATAAATTAAAATAATGAAATTAGTAATGATTTAATATTTTTTTTTTTTCTCATCAAAAAATTGTTGCTATTTATATGGTTAGGGGGCATGCTAATTTTGTTTATATTTTAAAAAAGGGTGTTTTTTTATAAATATAAATTTTTTAAAAAAAAGATTGTGATCTTATTTTTTTTTTTTTTAAAAATTTTAAAAAAACTGCAAAACCATTTCAAATTGTGGATCACCCTCTTTAAACTTTTAAAAATAAAACCAAATTTCATACTCTAACCTAACATGTTCCATCTAACTATAAATTTTATGTTTTATGTTTTTAATATTTACCATTTGAACTGATATCCTTAATATCAACATTTAATAACGGAATAGTGTAGGTATATTTGTATTTTGAAAAAAGATTTGACTTTTTGGTGACCAATATCATATCGTTAAAAAAGAATAAATAAAAACCACCACTTTCTCCTTTTTTGTTTGATGAAATGTTACATGGAGACTCTCTAACGAAATATCTATGAGATTCCATCAATCCCTAAAAATTAAAAAATTAATTATTAGTTAGTATAAAATATAAATTTTTTTTTAAAAACATAATATATTATATTATATTATATTATTATTGTTGTTTTTTTAAACCCTAATAATTCTAATATAGGTTGAGGGTTTTTTTTTTGGGTGATCTATAAAAAAAAAAAAAAAATCCTTTTGAAGCCCCAACAACTTCATTCTCAAAGTTGATAGATATTTTTTTTTTTTTTTTATGATTTAACAAAAATAATTGAAACAAAAATAAAATAAATAAAATATTGGTCACGCTATGCGATATTTTGGGAAATGGAGGTGATTGTGAAAAAATAAAACTTTTAAAAAAAATTTAAAAAAAATTGGAAAATATATGCATTGATGTTGACAAGCTAAACGAAAAAGTGAAAAAAATATAAAAAAATTGGATTAAAAAAAAAAAAAAGTGGGGACTATTTGGAGTATATGCACATTTAAAATTTTTTTTTTTTTTAGCAAACTGGTTGGGTGATTACGGATGTGTTTTTAAAAAATGAAAATTTTTTGGAGTGAAACATTTAAAAATATAAAAAAAAAAAAAAAATTGTTTGCATGTATACTTACTGGGGCACCTTTAATTTCTTTTTGTAACTCTAATAATTTTGCTCTATTATCGACATTCTTTTTTCTATCATTAATATACTTGTTGATATTTTTGATGGCACCATATGAAGTTTTAATATTTTTATATTCAATATGATCCTCATTGGTGTATTTTAAAATTTCTCTTAATAATAACTCGTATCTATTTAAAATAATTATTTAATATTAGGGTCATTATATTTATGATTATTATTATAATAATAGTTACCTTGGAACACGTTGTACAGGCATAATTAATAAGGAGTTGATATCTGCTGTTACTTTAGATTTTTTTCTTTGCTCTGCAAAGAAAGTTGTACATTGTGGATTTTCAATCATTGTTTTTAATTGTGGTGTGACAACATCAAAATTATTGACATATTCTACATAAATTTTGAAAATGGGTGCCTATAGATCGTTTATTTAATATAAATTAGTAAGTATTTACAGATTTAAGAGATTAACCCATTTTTTTAAAACTGATTATTATAATTTTTTTTTTTTTTTAAAAAAAAAAAAGATATTTAAAAACAAAAGAATTATTTTATAAACTTTTTTTTTTAAAATAATAAATTGAATTCTCTGGTTAAAATTAAAAACTTACAAATTTAACAAAAATATCACCGATTAAAATTGGTTGTTGTGAAAGTCTTTCCTCTAACAAATGTGCAAGTTCGCTACTAATGGTTACGATACTTCTAAGGTTGGAAAATACTTTATTAATTTCTTCACTCTTAAATAATTTAGTTACCTTTGCCTCAACCTGCATTGGAATAAAGTAAAACTAGATTGAGAAATAAAATTAGTTTTTCTGTTAATATATATTAGAAAAAATTATAAAAATAATACATACGTCTTGTAATACAAATAATGAATTTAAATAAGATAGCTCGGTAGTATATAATTCATTAACTGACTTGTATCTTTTTCTTTGATTTTCAGTTTCTGGATCATTTGATACTAATTTCATCTTTACTAAATCTTTGAATTTCTTTCTAGCAAGCCACTTTCTACTAACTCTTTGAACACGAACAATATCACCAAATTTATAACCATTAACGATTGTATTTAATTCTTTTTCTGAATAACTCTTTGGGATAATTTTGGCTGGTGGTGCTGGTGGTGCTGGTGGTGCTTGTGATGGTGGAGTTGAGGTTTTTGGTGGTAATTGTTGTTGTTGTTGCTGTTGTTGCTGTTGTTGTTGTTGTTGTTGTTGTTGTTGTTGTTGTTGTTGTTGTTGTTGTTGTTGTTGTTGATTTAATCTTGGTAAATTTGTTGGTTTGCTTGGAACAACTGGTACTTTATTTGTTGGTGGTGAAGGTGTAGTTGGAGTATTGGTTGCAGCAGTTGAAAATTTAGATGGGGTCAGATTTGTATTGTCATTGTTATTGTTACCACCAATGTTCATTACTGCCAGCATATCCCTCATTGGTTGAAGAGAATCAATAACACCCTTTGCATTTTGTTGTTGAACCGATAATTCTTTTTCTTGAACAGCAATAAGTTCCTTTTGACGATTAAGATGATCTTGTTGTTCTTTTAGCTTTTTCTCTTCATTTTGACGGATCATTTCTATTTCATTTCTCTTTTTGCTTGCTTCCATTTCAATCATTTGCTTATACTTTTCGATTTGCTCTTTTTCAATACGATTCTTGTTCTCCAAATCTTCCTTTTGTTTGTGCAACATTTCTTTTTGTTTATTGGTCGAGCTAAGGTCACTATTTAATTTACTCTTTAATTCTTCCAACTCCTTGTTTTTATTTAAGAGATCAACCTCACGTTGCTTCATTTCTTGATTCTTTCTTTCTTGCTCTTGTTTTCTCTTTTCTTCATCTTGTTGGATCTTTGATTGGAATGACTTTTGTTGAACCTTTAAACTTTCTTCTTGTTTGACTAACTTCTCTTTCATTGTTTTTTGCTCTTCTAAAAGTGCTAATCTAACCTGTTCTTCATGTTTTCTGTTTAACTCCCTCTCTTTTTGAACCTCAATCATTTGACGCTTCATTTCTTCTTGTTGCCATTCTAATGCACTCTTTTTAGCTTGCTCTATTTGGAATTGACTTTCTGCACCCTTTTTTTTTGTTTCTTCTTGTTGTTGAATTAGTTTATTTCTCATGTTTTCAATCTCGTCCCTTTGCTTATCTAATTCACTCTTTAAACGAGCTGCTTCTTGTTCATGTTGAATTCTAATTCTTTCCATCTCTTCATTTCTTAATCTTTCTTGTTCTTTTTCGTGTGCAGCTTTTTGTTCATAATAAACCCTCCATGACTCTTCATATTCTTTTCTTCTTTTTTCCTCCTCTTCTCTATATTGTTTTAAACTATCTTGGTATTGTTGTTGCTGTTGTTGTTGTTGTGAGTAGTCATATTGCTGTTGTTGGGTTTGTTGTGAATAGTCATATGATCCTGATACAGGTCTTGAATAGTTGTATGGTGTAGATGGTGATGATGCTGAAAGTGTACTGCCTTGTTGTGAATAGTCATATGAAGTTGAAACTGGTCTACTACTAGTGTCATATGTGCCTGGTTGTGGTGTGGTTTGTTGCTGCGAATAATCATATGATGAAGCTGTTGGTGTACTAGATCTTTGCTGTTGAGAGTAATCGTATGTTGATGAGGTTGGTGATTGTTGTTGCTGTTGTTGATAAGAATTTCCTTGGTCATAACCCCATGAATTTCTATTTGCACTATAGTTTTGAATTGGTGAAGAGGTTACTGATGTTGAAAGTGACTGATGTTTTTGGAAATTTTCAATATTTCTAAATGATTGACTTCTTGTATACTTTGATGTTTGACCAGATAATTCTGGTGCCTGTGATGTTGTTGATGGTGATGATGTATTATATGTACCTGGTTGTTGGGAATAATCATATGATAATGTTTGAAGTGACGAGGTTGTATTGCTGGTAACTGGTTGTGAATATGTATTGTATTGTGATGATGACGATGACGATGTATTATATGTACCTGGTTGTTGGGAATAATCATATGATGGTGTTGAGGTTGGAGTTGAGGTTTGATGTTGAGAATAGTCGTATGAAGCTGATGGTGATGTATTGTAACCTGAGTAGGATGTAGATGATGAAGTATTCGATTGCTGATTATAGTTTGAATATTGGTCATATCCTTTATTATTATTTTGTTGAGAATAATCATATGAGCCCGTCGAAGATGGTTGCTGAGAATAATCATATGAACTAGTCGAAGATTGTTGAGGCTGATATGTTGGATCTACGTATGATGGTCCATAACCATCACTAGAAGTGGTTTGGCCTCCATATCCATATGGTTGCTGGAGTTGTTGCTGATCTTGATGGTAAGATGAATAGTCATATGACGGTGTTTGATGTTGTTGCTGTTGTCTTTGTGCCTCTTCTTGTTGAAGCTGATAGTAATATGAATATTGATCCCCCATTTTACTATATTGCTTTATAACACTATAAAATGTATATTATTGTTTTTTTATGGTTCTAAAGATAATAAAATAAATTAAATCAATAACCTCTTTCTTTTTCATCTTTTTCATCTTTTTTTTTTTCTTTTTCTTTTATTTTTATTATTACTCCTATTAATTAATACATACATTTATTATATTTGTTTTTTCCTTTCTTTATAATACAACAATTTCTTTTTAAAAATATTAGAGAAAAAAAAAAAAAATTTTGGGTGATGTGTATTATTAATTTCAGACAAGAAAAAAAAAAATAAAAAAATAAAAATTTTTAAAAAAAAAACCTGAGTGTAAATCAAAACCAAATATCTAAAAAAGACACATTGGTTTGAAAAATTAGATGTTTAATTGAAAAAAAAGTATTTTGTAATTGATAGATAATACACTTTTATAAAATAAATAAATAAATAATTAAATTTGAAAATAAATTAAAAAAATAAATAAAAAAAAATAAAAAATAATTTAAAAAAAATAAAAATAAAAAAAATATTTTAATTATTTTCAAAAAAAAAAATAATAACACACAGCTGCGTGTTAACTTTGTCCAGTTTCAGAACTGAATAACCCTATTTAAAAGAAAACCAAGGTAACCTTATATTTTTGGTGATTAAAAAAAAACAAAAATAAAAAATTAAAATTACAAAAAAATAAATACGACAAAAAAACAAAAAGAAAATTTTAAAAGAAACTAATAAAAGATAAAAATAAAACCACATATAAACATGATGGTTATAAAATTTTTTTTTTGAAAATGAAAAATAATATTATGCATTTATTTAATTTTTTTATAAAACTCAAACAGAAAAGAAAAAAAAAGGAAACACCCGGACCAACCTAAAATAAAAAAAATTTACGGAAAATACAAAATAGAATCTGTAAAAAAAAAAGGTTATAGGTTAATATTAATATTTTATTGAAATTAAACATATATATTTATAAAAGAAAAAAAAACAATAAAAAAAAAATGTCAGAGTAGAAATTATGATCAAAATATAGAGTACTAATTCCATATTCACACTAGAAGTGTCAGATATATTAATTTTGTTTCATCATTAAAAAAAAAAAAGACAATAAAAAATATATATATAAAAAAAAGTAATATTGAGACTTACATTATAATTAACTCAGAGCAGAAAAAATAGCAATATTTATTTTGTTTAAAACTCTATAAGAATAAAAAAAAAAGGGTTAGAATTAATTTTTTTACTTTATAATTTTTTTTAAAAAATAAAAAAATAGGTTGTCAGTGTTAAAAAGCTCGATATGTTTTATAATATCAACACGAGAGTTTAGAATTGAATACACAATCATCATTAACCTATTTTTTTTTTTTTATTTTATTTTTTTGCTAAATAAATAAAACATACCAATACTATTTTTTCATATAGAAGCTATTTCAAATACACAAAGTTTTCGGTTTTGTAAAAATGAAAGATAAAAAAAAAAGTTTTTTAAAAACTAAAAAAAAAAAAATTAGAAAAAGAAAATTTTTTTGCAAAAAAAAAAAAAAAATTGAAAAAAAAAAAATAGTATACGTTACAAAATACAATAAATTTATGATATGTGTTTTGTGATAAAAATTATAATGTTTCTTTTTTTTTTTTTTTTTTTTTTTTTCTTAAAAATATTAAGGTTTATTATTTTTATATTATACAGAGATTAATTTTGTCTTTGATGTATTAAACCTTTCAACCATTGAATATAAATATTTTTAGTGGAATCTAAATCTAAGTGAAGGTTTGGTTTTGATTTTAGAGCAGGTTCGTTAAACTTGTCATAGTAAATGGATAACGAAGAGTCTCTATCAAAGTTACGGAGAGATAGTGATATCTCTGGTGTACAAATACCAAGGAAAATACCATGAGATGAGCAATTGTTAATATGATTTTTAAATTCACCTGGGCAACAATTGCCAAAACAAACAACATGACCGCAGAATAAACAAACACCACGTGGTAATGAATCACAATTAGATGAACATGATTTGGTAATATTATCCATTAAAAATGTCTATTTATAATATTTAAAAAAAAAAGAAATATTAATGATAAGAAATAACAATAATAAATAATAAATATAATTATTAAAACTTACAATATGATCATTTGGTAAATCTATGAATTTTGGTAGCTTTGATTCTAATGTATGTAATAGTGGGTATTTGAAAGTTTTGATACTAGATGGTGTCATTATACGATTCATTCTAATTAAAAATTCGTTATCATTTGAAATTTCTGAAATTGATGGTAATTTTAATTTTCTCTTTAATTCTTTAATATTTGAAAATGATTCAATTGTAATTGGAGTAAAGGTATAGATATCTTCGTCATTGCTAAAATTAAAATTGATTTCAAAAATTGGTTTTGAGGAAATATAACAATAGTGTAAGAAAAGATAAGATTTTCTAATGAATGGTTGTAAAATGAGTTCGATTTCATCTTGCTGATTTAATAAATTGAAAAGTGGGTTTTGACTGACCTTGTTTGAAATGATATCTGCAACCAAGTGAGTGTAAGCTTGTAATATATATTGGTATGGGTCAGTGCCACGATTGACGTAGTGTTGTAAAATTGCAATAATGAATGGATCAATTTGAGCATATTTGGATTGGAGCTCGCTTTTATAAAAGTCATAGGTATTATATCTTCTTTCAGTGATTTTGATGATATTGCTATACAAAAGAGTAAGTGTATCTAGTTGACGTTGGAACTCAGTTTTGGAGTAAACATGGTAGGAGTTATCGATTGATTGTTTCATTGGATCGGTGGGGATGGTCAAGTAGTTGTTGTTTTTACGTGATGCAATTTCTAAAGTTTCAATGTTGTTTAATATAAATTTGAGGAAATAGATAGAGTCGGTTTTGTCAATTAAATAGCTTGGTGTCTCTTTATTTGGGTAACATGTGAATAGTGTGGCAAGTACATCTCTTATAGGTGGTAGGGTTGTGATATTATATGAGTCATCATCGGTAATTGGTTTGGCTTGGTTAACTGGTAATGCTAAATTTGAATAGCGATTACAAAGTGGGCATTTAAAACCATCAAATGGATTTGCAGAGTATTGAGTGAGACATGAATGGTGTATATAATGACTACAAGTTTGGGTAAATGTACCAGTACCATAGATTATTTGTATTAAGTTATCGTCGATGTCAGTGGTTGGTAGTTTATATGCATTTGTATTTAGGATTGAGTTTTTACGATTGTCTAAATCTTTTTTAGATTTTGGTAAAGGATCGTGCGATGATTGGTTTTCACTCATCCTTTTTACAGAGCTATATTCTGTGACACCGATGGAGCAAATTGGGTTATTTGGGGTTTCATGATTATTTTTACATACAACACAAACTAAATCTTTTACTTGTAGATTTCCTATTTTGGTGGTGTTGGTTGGACCTCCATCGTGATCTGCATAATCTTCATCATCGTCTTCTTCTAAAAGTAATTGATTTGATTGCATAAATTGTTTTTGTTGTAACTCCATTTTTCTTCTAATTTCTTCTTGTTTCTCTTGGGCGATTTTTCTTCTAATGTTATGATTAATTTCGTTTTGTTGTGAAAGTAATGATGAGATATCAAAATTTTTTTGGGTGAATAGTTCTGAAACATTCGAGTCAAAATCGTGAAGGTATGTAAAAAATTTGCTGATTAAATCTTTTTTATCTGAAAACACTTTGAGCTTTTCTATATGGAACGATAAGTCTATAATTAAAAAGAATAGATTTGTTTGAATTGAATGATCATTGTATAACAATCTAAATGGTTTAAATAAGCAGCTGATACAATTATTAAAGTCATTAGTTGATGTGGATATTGATTCAAAGTTATTAAGTATAGTACATTGAATTAGGTTATGGATTTTAGATTGTTCTTCTTCTGAGAGATCCTGTGATTTTGATTCCATAAAGGTACGAATTGATAATACAATAATATAGAGACAGTGGCTGATTAATGGGTCATAGAATTGGTTGTATTCATTTGAGTCACTTCGGTCCGTTGATAAAAATTGGGCAATACATCTATTTAATACATTATCAGAGAAATCATTATTGCTATGAACGCTGAATGTAAAGTTTGAGACCATTTCATATTTTGGATATAAAAATTTGGAGATGATTGCACTGATAATAGAGAATAGTAATGGGTCATCTAAAATCTTTTCGACATCTTTTAAATTATCTGGCAAAGGGTCATTAACCATTGGAAGTGGATATGATTCAGGAATTGGATGTTTGATTTGTTTTAAGTATTCATAATAGTTGGCTAAAGATTTGCTAGTGCCTGAACTTGGATCAAAATAATGATATGGGTAATAGATGTCGAAACGGTTCCAATATTCTGGTTTTAAAACTAAGTTACCATCTTTAGGTTGACTAACTTGTTTAATTACATTTTCTACATTATTATATTGGGAGAATTCTTTTCTTTGGTCTGATAGTCTTGAAAAATTATTTACATTAAAGGTAAGGGCTTGAATTACGTGGTAACGAGCTTCCTTTTCACCGAATGTTGCTTGCTTTCTATGTTGAATGATTGAAATCAAGTATTTAAAGAATTGAGAAATTGCATTGGGATTGCTTTCAATTTCTTTAAAGTTACTTGTAAAGTTACTGAGACATAATAGCATAAAGTATTTTGGACCTAATAAAATTGAGCAATATTGCACCAAGGTGTTGTCCAATGACAGTAATGACCAAAGATAATAAGAATTAAATTCGCTGATATTTAAATTTCTTTCCCAAAGGTGTGAATGGAATTGATGGATGAGTACAGATGGTAACATTGATTGGGTTGCTAAAAATACCAATGAATCAAAAGGTAGTTTTGATTTAATTTGTTCAACTGAATAATCTTTTAATTCGATGGCATTTAAAATATAAACACCAATTAGTCTATTGGTTGGTAAATGTAATTGAACTGGAGCAACACCATTAAAAATATCTGATTGTGGGAATAATAAATTAAATTTACTAAATGTTTGAGTTACCATTGGTTTTGGTGAAGCTGGATTTGTTGTTGCAGTGGTAGTAGTAGTGGTAGTAGTGGTAGTAGTTGTTGTAGTTGTTGTAGGGTTGCTATTATTACCAATGCTATTATTATTATTATTATTATTATTATTATTATTATTATTATTATTATTATTATTTTTAATTAATCTTGAATCATTTGGACTTAATGGAGTAGAATTATATTTTGAAATTGAATCATTTAGGTGATTTAATAAGATATCAAAATATTTATGAATTGGAATAGATTGTTTTGAAAGGGAGTGGAAAAAGGTGTCAAAAGTAATAAAGCTTTGGCATTCAATTGAAACAACGTTCGAAAGAACTGATAATTCGTATTCCATGGCACATTTGATTTTTCTTACAACTGGCACTATAAGTTGAATTTCATTGGTAATCTTTAATAAGTCATCAATATATTCTGAATTTTCATAAAGAAATTTACAATTTTTATCATGTTTAAAAATATTTGAAATGTAGCTATAATCTTGATTTGAATAAAATTCATTTTCATACTTCTTTCTTCCGGTTGGAGTTGATAGATCATATTCTGATTTCATTTGAACCAATGATAGCTAATAAAATAAAGGGTTTATTAGTATTAAGAGTGTTTTTAAAGTATCTATTTATAGTTTATACTACCTACCAAAGTTTTTGCTAATGTACTAAAAAGATTTTGTTTTGAGTATCCAGTACAAAATGGCACAGCAATCGACGGAAGTTCAAACATTTGACAAGAGATGGCAGATATTAGTGATCTAATCCTACGGTTGGAAGATAGGGCCAAGAGTTTGTAGGTTTTTAGAAATTCTTCACAAAATAAAAACTTGAAGAATCTATTACCCAAAAGTGAGATGATTAATGGTCTAAAGATCATAAGTACTGATGCTCTTGAGTCTACAAGTGATAAAACATAACCCATTGAGTTTCCAAAAGTATCTTTCTGATAGCTTATTTTATCAAGATATGGAAGCTCGATTGGACTGTATAATTCGAAATTGTTTGGATCTAACTGACGTCTACTAAACTCTTCGCTGATAATATAGAGAATTGGGTATGAGCTTCTAGCAACAGAATCTATCCATCGAAGTAAATTATTTGCAATGCTTAGTGTTAGTTTTCTAAGGAATTTTCTAATGACAACCTTATTTGTTAAACTTGCATTAAGATTTTGAGATTTGTTGAGTGGCACAGAACCTTTGGGGTTTATAAAATTTTTACCAAATAATGTTGGTTCAAATTCCTTGAACTTAATATCTTCAGGCTCATCCTCTTCGTTGTCAGAACCTTCAAAATATTCATCCTCGTCTTCTTTTTCGTCATCCTCATCTGGTGTTTCATTATCATCACTGTTGATATCGAGTCCATAGCTATCAGACTCTTTTTCTCTATAAATCTTTTTTCTTTTATTTCTACCATCGTTACTATAACTATATTCACCATCAGATTCAGTGGCTAAGTAAAGATCACAGTTGTTGCCATAATCTTCCTCTTCCTCCTCTTCCTCCTCTACCCTTATTTCTTCTTCCTCTTCTTCATTATTTCCATCACTATTTGTATCCATTGGCTGGGCCTCATCATCATTGGCACCAAAAATATGTTCGATTAAATTACCAATAACATCTCTTGGATTATATAATAAGTTATTAAATATTTGTTCAGGGGGATTTTGAATTGGTTCGTCATCACTGTTATTTTCTTCCTCTTCGTCATTTTCAAAATCCAAATCATTTTGATCTCGAATTATAAGATTTCCACCTTGAAAAAATTCAAATTGCTGACGTAATCTTTCTACAATACCAATATGATTATTGTTATTATTATTGATATTGATATTGATATTATTATTGTTAATATTAAGAACAATATTATTGTTATTATTATTATTATTGTTATTGTTATTGTTATCATCATCGCTATCATCTTCATCACTGTCAGTATTGTTTTCGTTCTGATTTCTTTCTTCCCTTGCCTCTCTTGCATCTCTATCTCTTTCTAATTGATGTAATATGTGACGTTCATACATTAGTCGTTGCTGTTTTAAATACTCTCTTGTTCTATCTTTAAATAGTTTTTTCTCTTTCTTTATAGCTTCATTTTCGACATACTGTCTAAAAATTCTTTGAATATCATTCTTTTTATATTTTGAAAACTGTTTTAAATTGGGCTTGGATACTATACGCAATAAATGTAAAAGATACTTTATAAAGAACCTCATTGTGAGGTGGACACTCATCTTTATTTCCTTGTCTAAATTATCTGATGGATGCTCAATTTTTTCTGGTGTAAAATGATCTTTACAAAATCCATGTGGTTTGAACGAGTCAGCATTTCCCTATAAAAATAAAAAAAAAGTTAATATGATTGATAATGCTTGTTGTTTGTTACTCATCATACTTACACAATCGCAACATCCACCCAAACCACTTTCTTCAACCATAAATGCATGGTTGTTCTTAATGTGATCACCATTTTTAAAACATGCTAAGCAAACACAACTTGTATCTGTTACTGCACAATCTTTACATCTAAAAAAACATGCTTTCTTGGTCCATTCTATAAAAAAATAGTTTTTTATTAATACTATTGAAAAAATTTTGTTGATTTCTTTATTTATATTCATCTAAAAGTCCTTACCATATTGACAAAATGGAAATTTATTTTTATCACCAATTTTTTCGATTATAGAGTCCAATGGATATCCGCTTAATTCTTTGAATAGATAACTAAATACCTCTGGTGATAGAGCCAACAAAGGCAACTCTGCGACCAACTCTTCTAAAAATTTGAAATATGGAGCCTCTGAAAAGTTTTCATCACTGATTCTATAAAATTCTAATTTTAATTCTCTTTTTAAACTATTTAGATGATATTCATCATGTTTAGAGAAACTAAACTTTTCTTTAGTACCACCATCGTTATTATCATCATTATCCATGTTATTATTTTTATTTTTATTATTGTTTATATTATCTTTTGAATTATTATTATCATTATTATTATTATTATTATTATTATTATTATTATTATTATTATTATTATTATTATTATTATTATTATTATTATTATTATTGTTATTGTTATTAAAGTTTCTAAAAGCAAACATTTTGCCTTTTATATAATATTTATAAATATTCTATTAAAAAAAAAAAAAATGAAAGAAAAAAAAACAAAAACACAAAAACAATAAAATATAATTAAACAGTGTTGTTTGTTATCTTTTTTTTTTTTTTTATTAGAAATTATTATTATTACCTTATTACTATATTATTATATTACTATACTATATTACTATATTGTTGTATTATTATATTATAGCTGAAAATATAAATATATTGTAAAGTTAAAACAAGTTTTTTTTTAAAAATAATTTAGAAAAAAAAAATAAAAAAATAAATTTCTTTTTTTAATTAAAATTTTTTTTTTTTTAATTTTTATTTTTTTATTTTTTATTTATAAAATTTTTTTTTATTTTTTTTTTTAAATTTAAATTTTAATTTTATTTAACAAAACTACCATTGTTAATCATTTTTTTATTCAAATATTTATTTACTATTTATGTATTACTAATATATTTATCATAATAATAATAATAAAAATAATAATAAAAATAATATAATATTATAAACAAAAAATAAAATGGATAAAGATAGAGTGGAGATTTTATTAAATAGACTGTTAACTGCAGCAATTTTAGGTACCACTGCATACATGGCCCTTAGCTATTTAGGAAATACATACTTCAAAAAAAGAGCATTTATAGAAAAAATGAAAGAACATCCAGTAAGTATAATAATTATAATTACAGCACATATAAATTATATGCATTCGTTTTTTCATTTTTTTTATTTTTCATGTTTTTTTTTTCTATTTTCATATTTTATTATTAACTTTATTTTTATTATTATTTAGAATATTGAAAGAATTAAACAAATGACATTTAATTCTTATGAATTAAAAATTTTAGAATCATTAGCTTTACCAACACAAAATAATATAACATTTGAGGATATTGGAGGACTTCAAGAAATTATTAATGATCTTAAAGATTCAATTTTCTTACCATTAGAAGCAGCAAAACATTTTAAGAGAGAACCATCAAAATCAAATAACGAAGACCTTTTCAATGTACCAAAAGGTATTCTTTTCCACGGTCCACCAGGCACTGGTAAAACAATGATGGCCAAAGCCATTGCAAACTATGCCGGTTACAGCTTTTTAGGTAAGTGTTTTTATTACCACTACTACTACTTTTCATTAATTTAATAGTTTAAATATTAATTTTTTTATTTATTTAGCTATTGATCATTCAATTTTAGATCATAAATGGTATGGCGAAACTGAAAAAAATGTAGCAGCAATCTTTTCAGTAGCAAAAAAACTTCAACCAACAATCATTTTTATTGATGAAGTCGATTCAATGACAGGTAATAGAGATAGTGAACATGAAGTAACCACAAGTAAAAAATCAATGCTTTTATCATTATGGGATGGTTTCAATTCCGGTAATGATAAAATCATTATTATTGGCGCAACAAATAGAATAGAGGCTATTGACAAAGCTTTTTTAAGACGTTTTGAACGTCATTTTTTAATAAAATTACCAGACGAAAAACAAAGAAAACAAATTTTACAAATTGTAATTATACTCTATAGCAGCAACAATAATAAATAATAATAATAATAGTAATAATTGTTTACTAATCATTCTTTTATTTTAGATATTAAAAGATTACGTTGATCCAGATTTCGATTATAATCAACTTTCTCGTGCTACAAATGGGTTTTCAGGTTCTGATTTAAAATCCTTGTGTAAATCTGCATTTAATAGTATGTATTATTATTTTTATAATAAAATATTTTAAACTGTGTATTAATGCTATTATTTTTTTTAAAATAAGATGTTTTAAAAACTCAAATCACTGCAAAAAACAATTCACCAATTAAAATTAATATTGAAGACTTTAGAAAACCATTGACTCTTAAATTTCAACAATCAAATTATCATTAATACATGTAATAAACCGCAATAAAAAAATTTTATGCTATATATAAATCAAATAAAATTTTATTGTGTTTTTATTTTATAAAAAAAATTCATCGTAAAATTTTATTTTTATAATTAAAACCAATTTTTAGATTTTTTTGCCTCTTTTTTATTTTTGTGAAAGTGGTTTTGAATGACATCACCAAGAATCCGAGAAAAAAAAAAAATACTGCAGCACACCAACTCCAAGCTCGAAAAAAATAAAAAAAACTTTATCTAATTTTTTTGAGTTATCTTTTTTCTAAATTATTTATATTTTAAACTCTTTTTTTTTTATAAAACTAACGGGTCTCTAAAAACCATTAAAATCAATGAGTTAACTAAATTATTATTTTTAAATATAATAATTTGTTTTTTTTTTTTTTTAAAATTTTTTTTTTCTGCTTTAAAAATGGAGTTAAGAAAAAAAATTTTTTTTTTTTTTAGTTACACGTAATATCAAAATATAGAATGAAAGTATTTGCTTTATTAGTTATTATCTTGGCCTTAATTTCAAATTGTATGGGTGATACAGCCTTTGCTATTTGGAATAAAGATAGCCAAACTGCTGCTGCTGGTCTCTATGACTTTGCCAATATCTACAATACTACCGAAAAATACACTTTATCTGGTTACCAACACATCAATACTACCAATCAATACTCCACTTATAATGCCGTTACTAGAGTTATTTCATTCTTTGCCACTTCATTAGTAAGATCTTATTTTTTTAATTTTAAATTTTTTAGATTGCTAATTTTTTTTTTTTTTTTAGGCTGATAATCATATTTATTTATTCTCATTAAATGTCGATACTTGGGTTGCTAACCAAGTAAAGATTGATTTCGATCCAACTAAATTCACTGTTTTATCAATTGAATCATCACAAACTACCAACGATACTGATTTATTCCTTGTTATGTCAGTTAATCCAACTACTACTCAAAATGAATTCATTGTTACTAAAATGAATGCTGCTACTGGTATTTATAACATTTACGATACCGTTCAAATGACTTTTGCTTCTGCCTCATATGACCAAGCAAATAAATTATTCGTTGTCATCGTAAACAACGGTACCAACAACATGGTTAGCACTTATGATATTAACGGTGTTTTCGTTCGTTCAAGAGTATACACCATTGGTAATGTCAACTCAAATTACAAAGCCACCTCATTACCATACAATTTAGTCTATCTTTCATCCTACTCTGCTTTCTACATGAACATTGACTTAAACGGTCGTCCAGAAATTTTCCTTCTCTACGCATCAACCCAACAATTCTATAACAAAGCTTGGTTACAAAACACTCCATTCTACGTTAAAACTGCTAATGCAATCGGTCAATCTAATGGTTACATTTATCAAGAAACCAACAGTAACTCAAAATCATACATCAACAAATTCAATGGTTACCAATGGACTTATACCAAATATACCGATTATTTAATCCTTAACTTGTGGGGTTTAGTTTAAATAATTTAATAAAATAAAATATATTATTTAATTTTTTTTTATTTTTAAATTTTATTTTTTAAATTTTTTTTTTTTAAATTTTTTTAAATTTTTTAAATTTTAAAAATAATACTATAAATTAAAAAATACATTTAAAATGAAATCCCCCATTAGATCAATATTTGTGTATGGTACACTTAGACCAGACGACATTTCGAATGCACCATGGACCAAGCCATTTATAAAGGGTTTTAAATATCAAAAATGTCATTTTAAAGATGGTATTATGTTTCATGCTGACGAAAGTTACCCAACAGTATCATTACTCTACACACATAAACAACATGACAATAACAACAATATTAGTGTAAGTGAAGAAAACAAGAAATTCGATGACATCCTATTAAACCTATATAAAGAGAAACAATGTAAAGGTATTATCGGTTACATGCTAAGTATAGATGAATCACTGCTGGTCGATGGTTTAGTAGATCCTATTAAACTATTTGATGAAAAATTAAAAGAAGCAGATGAAATAGAAGAATATCCACAACTTTACAAAAGATCAATAATTAAAGTAAAACCATTATTAGATGAAATACTCCATCAGCAACAACTAGAGCATCAACAACAACAACAACACAATCAAGATGACCATTTAGAATGTTTTATATACCACAGAAATGATTGTAATAGAGATGTAGTTATAGCCAGTGGCGATTGGTTAGAACATGTTAAAAACAATCCACATATTATAAATAGTAGCAAAAATTAAATATAAAATAAAATAAAAATAAATTGTATATATAAATAATTAAAGATCCTTTTTATTTCTTTTTTATTTTTATTTGTCGAAAATTTATTATTATTATTGAACTACCTTGATAATTGAGTAGGGGTTTGATGGTATTACCTTTTCCCGTCAATTACTGTTATGTATAAACTTAGGGTGATAGAATTTCTACCCTTAGTTCTTCCAGTTTGTTTTTTGATGATGATATTAGTTCTAGTTTCCAACAGAATAGACCAAATTTTATTCTATTGGCTCTTATTTGAACTTTTCTTGAACCGAGTACTATTCTACCTTTTTTGCTGATGTATTATGGTATTTGGTAATTAACATTTTATTATTCAAAATATTCATCATATCTTTTTTACTATTTTAATATTATCGATCATTTTATAATTTTATTTTCTAAATAGAATTTTTTATTTTTTATTTTTTATTTTTTTTATTTTTTTTTTTTATTTTTTTTTTATTACTATTTGTTTTTTGGTTGTTATTTATTTTTAAATATGGAGCTTATTATTTTTATTCAATTATATTAAATTTATCCATCATTTAATGATATATAGAATAAATGATCAATTAATTAATTAATTTTTTTTTAAAAGAAAACTGGGTATTCTGTATATCATTTAAATGAGAATTTAATCAAATTTTCAAATCAAATAATATTTTTAGATATAATGCTCAATGAAATAAGAAAGGTTAAAACTAAGCTACAACAATATAAATATAATATATATATTCAAATAAAAAACTTTATTTTTTAAAAATTAAAAAAAAATTATATTATTTAAACAAAACTCTTTTTTATTTTTTGGTTTTTTTTTTTTTTTTTTTTTTTTTTTTTTATTTTTTATTTTTTTTTTTTATTAAAAACTCATTAATATTTTTTATTCCATATTAAATATACCTTTAATTACCCTATTTAAAATAAATATATTATAGTATTAATTAACATGCAAACAAATTATTAGGTAATTATATATATATATATATATTAGATGATAAAAAAAATATTAATGGTTTAATCCTTTTGCATACAGCTTAAATATATATATATTAAAAAAAAACCTTGTAAATTAAAAAAAATCATCACACTTTATTTTTTTACACCATTTTAAATAATAATAAAAAAATGGAAAATTATTTATTAGAAATTGCTGTCCTTTTTGTTGTCTTCATTTGTTTTTATTTTTACTTTGACACCAAAGACAACACTAATAAGGGCACCGACAGAGATGACAGCCCAAAACAACATAATTCAGTTCCACAAAGTCAAAATGATAATAAAACTTGGGCACAATCGCAACCACCATTCTCCGGACCAAATCTAAAAAGATATGCTTGGGCACAACCACATAACAAATTGCCTCCAAATTTCTTCGAACAAAATGATTTTGATTTTAAAACTTGGGCACAATCTCAACCATTTCCACCAAATTTCTTCCAACAAAATGGTTTTGATTTTAAAAGTTGGGCAGAATCTCAACCATTTCCTCCCAATTTCTTCCAACAAAATCAAAATGCTAATTGGTTTGAAGATTAATACAGGGCAAAATCAAACAAACAAAATAATACCACCAACAGGACCATCACCATCAACAGGACCATCACCATCCAAATACCCATCCCATTTTGAAAAAGAATCTCGTTATGATTCTTCCGCTGCCCCATCATCGTCATCAAGATTATCCCAATACCCATCTCACAAACAACCATAAAAAAAAGTAAATATCTTTATTTTTTGCTAATATATAAACTATTTATTAACATTGTTTTATATTAATTATTAAATATAGATATCTCATTTCCACCCTCAAATCCAAGACCAACACCACAACAAACAGTACAACCAACTCCAAATCCAACATCAAGAGCTAGAGCAAGATCAAAACAAACTCCAACTCTATTATTTAGTTTACCATCACCTCAACCAACACCAATAACAAGATCCAAACCAAGACCAGAACCCAACCAACAATAGTACCAAGATCAACCACCATTCATTTTTAACCAATTAGATTTCAAATAGAGAATTATCAATTAGCAACATTTATAAAGTTTCATCACCATAAGTTTTAGATCAAAATCTCTACCAAATTTTCTCTGGCCAAGTAAATATGGTAGAACATCAAATAGTATTAGGTGAAAAAATAGTAGACCCTATCCAGTAAAAGTGTGTCTGGAAAACAAAATCTAGGAACTTAAATTTATTATTGTACAACCATGATCAATCCAATAGATATAGAATCTAAACGTGAATTGCACCATTTCCACAGATTATCATGATTCAATTAAAATGTATAAAAAATTATTTTCAACTCAACTAATCTTCTCGAAATATTTTCAGTAATAGTATACCGAAACATCAAACATCAATGTTGTCATCATAAAAATAAATAAATAATAAAAACAAAAATAAAATAAAAATAAAAATAAAAGATGAAAGTGTCAATAAATGTTACATTTATCCATTTTCGGATATTATTATTTTTGATTAATAAATGGTTATCAGCATAATCTATCCAAAATAAAAAATAATTAAAAAAAAAAAATTTTATTTTTAAATTAAAATTTTTTTAAAATTTTTTTTAAAATATTATTTTTTTAAACACACACCGATCATAAAATGGGTTTAAATATTTTTGATTGTGTGGGTGATGGTAGTATTTAAAAGTTTTTAAAGAGTAGCACATGGGGCTATTGTTTGTTTTAAATTAAGTAATATTGAACTACCACAATTATTTCTTTGAGTAAAGGTATGTGAGGTAACATATCATATTTATTTTATTTTAATACTTAAATTACACAAAACACAAACATACACACAAAACACACTGTTTTCGTATTTTTTTTTCATCAATTATAATAAAACAAACAATAAATAATTATTTTAGTTTTTTTAAAAAAAAAAATTCCCAAATTTTTTATAATAAAATTATTTATTTTGAAAAAAAAAAAAATAAGGTAGGAAATTCAACTACGCTCTATTTTTTTTAATTTTATAATAAAACTTTGGCATGTATTAATTTTACATCGATAAAAAAATCAATAATATTAAACAACAATGTTTAAAAAAAAAAAAATAATATAAAATTAATTTTATTTCAATTGAACGAAAATAAGAAAAAAAAGATAATTTTTCTTGTGTATTTATTTATTTATTTATTTATTTATTTATTTATTTATTTATTTATTTATTTATTTATTTATTTATTTATTTATTTTGGAAATAAAATTTATATAATATTTAATTATAGTTATATAGTTATTTTCATATCAATAGCAATTAAATCACATTACCAAATTAAGTAAGTTAATATTATACCTATATATATATATATATAATTGTTTTTATTTGTTTTTTTATTTTTATTTATTTTTCAAATTTTTTTGTGATAGATCTTGATTTTATGATTTATTCATTGTTTTTTATATGGTGAAAAAGTGTGTATCATTATGGGGGTAAAAAAATACATTTATGTAATCAGTTTGAAAAAATCACATAAAAAAAAACATTATTGTGTGTAATAACCCCCAATTACAGTTAAAATTTTTTTTTTTTTTTTAATAAATTGTTATTATTTTTTAATTATTTATTAATTGTTTAAGATGTGTGTTTAATTGTCTAATTTTGTATCCATATTTAATTTTAATTTAAATATTTTTTTTTTTAATTTTTTTTAATTTTCTTTGTTTCTGTTGTTTGAAATACATTGTTAATATTAATTTATTTTTTTATTTTGTTTATTATTTCAAGTAATATTACTAATTATTAAAACAACTACAAATAATAATAATAATAATAATTTATAATACAATTTATTAAAAATAATAATAGTCATAAAAACATATAATCACATTTAAAAAAATAAAATGACAAGTTTAGAAAAAGAAAGAAGAAAGTCAATATCTTATGATTCAAAATATGGTAATTCTAAAGGAGTAAAAAGTATCTCATCCGATGATTATCAAAAACCAAATGGTGCCAGTACTAGTAATAGTAATTTTTTCAATAAAAAGAAACATCAAAGATTTACCAGTGTAGCTCCTGCTAAATCAAACTCATTAAACAATAGTAGCAGTAGTAATAGTACCTATAGTAGCAGTAGCAGTAGCAACAGTAGCACCTATACCAATAAAAGCAATAGCAGCTACAGTAGCAATAATAATAAAGAGAATAATGCTTCAGGTAATATGCCACCCTTATATTCAACAACCCATACAACAGCAACATCAAGAACAAACGCTCCAATTGCAAACCCAAGCAGTCCAAATGATGCTACTAGCCCCAACAAGTCAAGAATGAAGAGACTTTCGCTAACGGTTTCGATCACATCACAAATGTACCTTGAAAAGATGGGTAAAGCATCATCATCAAATATAGATTCCGAGGATATTAAAAAAATGAAAAATTCATTATCTGAAATTAAAAAAGATTGTAAATTAGTAATGACCAAAGGAAAGCAATCAGTTTTAACTGTTGAAAGTATGTACAATACCGTGTATTTAAAAAACTATATTCAAAACTTTTTTTTTTTTTATAGATTCAATAGATTTTAATTTATTAATTAATTTTAATTTTTTTTTTAATAGAACAATCAAATAAATTTGGTGAAACTATACTCGGAGTTGGTAACGGTTTTTTAAAAGGCACAAATGAAGGTGAAGCTTTATGTGCATTAGGTGAGCAAATTGCAGAATTTGATGAATCAATTAAAGAAGGTACAATGGGTTGTATGGGTTCATTTATTGAACCATTAAATAAATTTTATGATGAGGATATTAAAAAAGCAAGAGATTTAAAAAAGGTAACTATTTATTTTTAAATATAATATCGCATAATAAGCAAATACTAATTTATTTTATTTTTATATAGAAACAAAATTTAGCAAGAATTAAATTTGAACATGCTGAATTAACATATAATGATATAAAGAAAAAAAATGATTTATATTCAAATAAAACTATGGGCGCAAAGAACGAAATGGAAGAATCAAAGAAAATTTATACCGAAACCACAAAAGATTTTTATAAGAAAATGGTAGAGAATGAAAAGAACTTTAAACTCGAACTTAGAAAACAAATTAGAGACTATGTTCAAATGCAAGTAGAGTTTTATAGAGAAATGTTAGAAAATTGGGAAGAGTTTGCAGAAGAAATTGACGAAATTATACCAGCTGATGATGCCGAAATTGCTCAAAGAGAAGAGGAAATGAGAAAAAGAATTGAAGCCGGTGAAGATGATGACTCTGATGGTGAAAACGATGACGACTTATTGGCAGATCTTTAATCAATTAATTTTATAAATATGCACTATACCACCAACACAACACAAATAAAAACCACTTGTTAATTTTTTTTTTTTCAATTTTAAGTAATATATAAAATAAATTTACAAAAATAAATAAAAATATTTTTTTTTTAAATATAAAAACAAATCTTTACATAACTATTTTAATATTACTATTATTTTATAAATAAAAAAATAAAAAAAAGAATTTTATGTAATACACAACTAATAAAATAGGTTTATTTATTTTTCTTGTTGATCTTCTTCAACATTTATAATTTTATCAGATTCTTCATTATCTAAAGGTTGATCCATTTGGTCGTTATCTTGCTCGTCAAAAACTTCGTCAATATCAGGTCTTGATTTAATAAATCTTTCTCTTAATTTTAGTTCGATTTCTTGTAGAATTTTAGGTTGAACGTTTTCTAAAAAGTATTTGGTTTTTTCTCTACCTTGGTCTAATTTGGTGTCATTATAGCTATACCATGAACCTTGTTTATCGACAATACCTTCAGCAACGGCCAAGTCAATAATTTCACCAGTTTTGTTAATACCAGATTTGAAATCAATGTCAAAAATTGCCTCTTTGAATGGTGGAGCTAATTTGTTTTTGGCGATTTTAACTTTGGTTTGAGATGCAATAATCTCATCACCTTTTTTGACAGTTCCTGATTTTCTTATTTCGATTCTAACCGATGAAAAGAACTTTAAGGCATTACCACCAGTTGTTGTCTCTGGGTTTCCAAACATAACACCAATTTTCATACGGATTTGGTTAAGGAAAATTAAAACACAATTTGAATCTTTGAGAGTTGGTGAGAGTTTACGAAGTGCTTGACTCATTAAACGAGCTTGAACACCCATATGACTATCACCCATTTCACCTTCTAACTCTACTCTTGGTACCAATGCAGCTACACTATCGACTACAATAACCTGCATAGTTTTTGAACGAAGTAAACTATCTACAATTTCTAATGCTTGTTCACCCGAATCTGGTTGTGATACAAACAATTCATCCAAATTTACACCTAAACGTGATGCCCATGCTGGATTAAGTGCATGCTCAGCATCAATAAAAGTACAATGGCCACCTTGCTTTTGTGCCTCTGCAATAACATGTAATGCTAATGTTGTTTTACCTGAACTTTCAGGACCAAATATTTCAATAACTCTGCCCTTTGGGAGACCACCAACACCCAATGCAATATCTAAACCCATAGATCCAGTTGGGATAACCTCTACTTTTTGTGTTGAAAACTTTGACCCCAATTTCATAAGTGTTCCTTTACCAAAACTTTTTTCCAATTCTTTTAATACATTATCTACTGCAGCTTGTTTTTTAGATTTTGGTGTTGCAGATGCAGTAGTTAATTCGCTTTCGTCCTCATCATATTCCTCTTCTTCTTTTTTATTTTTTTCTTTAAATGGAGATAATATTAGTATTTAAAACCATTTAACATATATGAAATATAAAATTGTAAATATTACTTGAACTTTTTTTAGAATAATTTAATTTGTTTGTTGTTTCATTGACTGTTTTATTTATAAATAATGATGTTGATGATGATGATGATGATATAAATCTACCATTATTATAAATTCCTGCAATTGATTTAGTTTTATTAAAGTGTCCATATGATAATCTAATTAAATTATTCATATTTTTATATATATACTATAATACAAAGATTTATTTTATTTATAAAAAAATTTTAAAAACTATGAAAAAAAAAAATTTTTAATTTAAAAAAAAATTAAATAAAAATAAATAAAAATAATAATTAGGTTTTTTTTTTTTTTTTTTTATCGAAACGCTTTTTCTTGTAATTTATTACATATTGTATTATAATATTGCTATTATTATTTTGATTGTTGTTATTTTTATATTTTAAAAAATAAACTGATTGCTTTATATATTTAAAAGTTTTTTTTTTTTTTCATAGTTTTTAAAATTTTAAAAAAATATTTTGTTTGTTATTATTATATTATTATTACTGTTATTATATTAAAAAAATTATAATTGATCATCAGTATCTTGTGAGGCTGGTGAGAGTCTAATTTCATCATATGGAGCTATCTTAGTTCTGACTTTTGATTTGGAGTGAGTCTTCCATAAAAGGAAAACGACAATACCTAAAAGTATTAATGTGATTGGTAAAAAGATGGCAACTGCAATTTTGGCATTTGAATTTGGATTTTTATCATCTTTTGGAACACCACAACCGCCTGGACAACCACAATCCTCAGCAGTAGTAACACAAGTACTAAGACAATAGTCAATGTTGGTTGATGAGTTTGTTGCAGTGTTAGTTTCGGCATATCTATCATTAATATTGAAACGGGCAATTGCATCGACACAATAAAGTGCACCACCATTTGAAGCAGTGTTCATTGTGAAATTTGAATCTTTAACTAATAATTGATTGATTTTATCAGTTTCGCTTTCATCAGTGGCATAGATTGCACCACCACCATTTACTGCTGTATTTGAGTTGAAATTTGTTAAAACAATTGATACTACTGAATCAAAAAGATAAACTGCGCCACCATTTGATGCTGTATTTGATTCAAATAATGAATGGTTATAATAATTTGATGATGAATCATCATATAAACCACCACCATTTTTTGATGCACTATAAAAAAAAAAAAAAAAAAAAAAAAGTTAATTATATGCATTATTAAATTATCAAAATATAGATGTGAAAATACTTACTTATTAAACTTAAATGTTAAATAGTTCCAAACGATATGATTCTTTTTTGGTACCTCTAAAGTATATAAACCACCACCATTAATTGCAGAGTTGTTAAAGAAATTAATATTTTTTAAAATAAGATTTTGATGATTACAATGCATGCCACCACCATTAGCAGCATAGTTGTTAGTGAATGTAACGTCCATAATAGAAACTCTAGCAGTTACATATGGAATTGTAATACCACCTCCATTAGATTCATCTGATACGGCTCTATTACCATCAAAGATGCAGTTTGTAATTTGACTGGAGAATTGAGAATTATAGTAAAGAGCACCACTATCACCACCAGTGTTATTTGTAAATTTGCAAAAATCGAATGAAACTGTTGAGGCACCTGTAACGATAACACTTGATTCAATATTTTCGCTGCTGTAACCACCATCTCTAAATTCAATACCTCTTAATGTGAAATTGGCTAATGAGCTTTGGAAATTGATTGTGTATTTTCCTTGTGTGCCAACAAAAACTGCATAATTGCTAGTGTTAAATGCTAATAAATTGCCATCGAATTTATATCCCTCTGATGGTCTGTCGACTGCTTGAATTAAAATTGGGAATTGATAATCTTCACCAACATCACTAACTATAATTGATGATTGTTTATATGTATTTACTTCATTTGATCCTATAATATATATGACTCTTGTAATACTACTATCACTTGTGCATTTGTTTAAATCGTTTGCTGATACTACTGTTGAAATTGCATTTTTTAACAATAAAAATGGTCTATAAAAAAAAACATGGCTTGTTAATAAAATAGTCCTAGAAACTTTATAAAATCCAAATCGATAATAAATAAATGTAATATTACTTTTCTAATGTACCCTTTGCTTCAGCTTGAGTTGCATTATAATCTACCCACCAAATGCACTCTTCTTTAATATTTATTTGGGCATTTGCTATAACTGTGAAATATATAAAAATCAATGATAAAAGATATAGTATTTTCATTTTATATACCAAAAAAAAAAAAAAAAACTAAATAAAATAACAAATTATTATTATTATTATTATTATTATTACTTTGTATGTGGTGTTTTTTGGTGATTTATTATGATAAAAATAAAAAAAAATAAAAAAAATTAAAATTAAAAAAATTAAAATAAAATTTTTTTATGAAAATATTTGAAAAAAAAAAAAAATAGTAATAAAAAGAATATATATCTATGAATATTTATTTTAATAACAACACAAAAAATATTTTTTTTTTTTATTGTGTAAAAAATTTATTATTATTTTTTTTCCGATAACTTAACAAAAAAGACCCAATATAAAAAAAATTAATGAAAATTTTTTTATTTTTGGTTTTTTTTTTTTTTTTTTTTTTTTTTTATTTTTTCAAAATTTTTTTTTATATAGTGAATGTGGGGAATAACCTACACAAAACTGAGTAAACTGAGTGGTGCCTGGTGAATCCAGATCCGCTTCAGTTTTTTTTTTTTTATCAACAATAACATATTTACAAGGATTTTTTAGACCCACAAAAAAAGTATAAATAAGACCCCCAAATAATTCACAATGATTTCATTAAATTAATAAAAACAAATAAAGTGTGAGTATTGTATTAATTTATTTTTTTTATTTTTTAATTTTTATTTCCCCCAACAAAATAAATAAATAAATAACTCACTTAGTAAAAACTCATAACCATAAAACAAAAATTGGTTATAATCAATATATAAACAATCAAGATTTAAATTTAGGAACAAATAATAATAAAAATTAAAAAAAAAAAAAAATTAAAAAAAAAAAATAAAAAAAAATAAAATTTTTACTTTTCGTTTTTTTTTTTTTTTTTCTATTTTTTATTTTTTTTTTGTCATTTTTTTTTTTCTTTAAATATTTGATTTAATTTTAAATAACAATGGAAAGTGCTAAAATTGGTGAATATATGCGTTCAGGTTTTGACCTTGATTCATCAAAATCATTTAGTGTAGATGAAATTGATGGTAAAGAATTATGGTTAATTAAAATACCAAAAGATGTAAGTATATACTTTTATATTAATACAGCACTATCAATTATAATATACTAATTGTAACTTTTTTTTTTTACAATAGTTACCATTCGAATCATTACCAAATAAATTACAAGTTTCAGATATTAATAGAGTTTCAGTTAAATCAATTGATGTAAATAAAAAGAAATATACAATTCATCAAGATGACACAAAAGAAATTTCAACATTATTTAATGTTTGGTCAAAGAATGATAATGGTAAAATGGCATTAGGTAAACCATTCACCAAATTCATCCAAATTGACGAAATTGTAGAATTACCAAAAGAACAAATTACACCAAAACCAACCCCAAAACCAATTCAACAACACAATATCTTAAAGGGTGTTTACGATCCACCAGGTTCAACTGGTTGTATGTTTTTAAAAATTTAAAACTATAGTTGATCATTATCAACAACAATATATCAAATCTTTTCTATATACTAATAAATGTTTTTATTTTTTTGTAATAATAGATTTAAATAAAATTAAAGAAGAAGAAAAAATAAAGAATAAAAATACAACCAAAATAAATACAGGTAAACAAGTTAAAAAAGATGTTAAAAAAGAAGCTGAAATTAAAAAAGAATCCAAAGATAAAAAAGAAAAAGAAATAGAAAAGAAAAAGAAAAAACAAGAATCATCATCATCATCAGAAGAGGAATCAGAGGAGGAAGAAAAAGATAAAAAGAAAAAGAAATCATCAAAAGACACCAAAAAATCATCATCTAAAAAATCATCTAAAAAACAAGAATCATCATCTGAAGACGAGTCAGAATCTGAAGACGAGTCATCTTCATCATCTGAAGAAGAAAAGAAATCATCCAAAAAATCATCATCTAAAAAATCATCATCAAAGAAATCATCATCCAAAAAACAAGATTCATCCGACGAAGAAAAATCAAGCAAAAAGAAAAAAGATACAAAGAGAAAGAAAGAGGACTCTGAAACTGAACAAACTAAAAAGAAACATAAAAAATAAATAGACTTTAATAATATATATTAAAAAAAAAAAAAAGGTAAAAAAGATATTTGGTCCAGGGTATAAAATAAATTTATACTAAAGTTAATTTATTATGATTCATTTGATTTTTTTTTATTTGTTTTTTTATTATTTATTTTCAATTTTATTTTTTTATATTTTTTTAATTTTAAAAAATAAAAAAAATTCAAATTTGTCTTTTGATTGAAAAAATAGCATGGAAAGTAAAAAGAATTTTCTTTATACGCAATATTTTTATTCAGCGTATGACGTCTATGTTCTTTTAAGATTTGTAAAGCTGAGAAAAATTTAAAAATGAATACATAAAACCTGGTGTTTTGGGGAATTATTGAAAAATTTTGAGTGTGTTTGTTTTAAAATGTTAAAAAAATTAAAAAATAAGTAAGAAAAAATATAAAAAAAATAAAAAATTAATAAAAAAAAATAATTCTCTGAATAAAAATTAAATATCTTTTTTGTAAAATTTGTGATTAATGAAAAAATATTTTATTTTTTTGGATGTTGTTTTTTATTAATACATCACCTTATCATAGTAGCGACTGGAAGATCAACACACATATACACACACACACAACACATCATACACACAAACTCAACACTCACTCTAAAATATATATATATATACTCTTAAATTTAAAAATAAAAAACATTTTTAAGAAAACTTTATTTAAAAAAATTTTATTTTTATTATTAGTTACCCATTTACAACTAAAAAAGTTAAAAATAGTACTAAAATTTCACATAAAAAAATTAAAAATAATAAACACACTAACACACACACACACACACACCTAAAAACAAACATTTTTTTAAAACACAAAAATGAATTTGTGTTAAATTAAATTAAAATTTTAATTTGTTATTTATTATTTTTTTTATTTTGTTATTTTTTTTTTTTTTTTTAATATATAAATAAAATTATCACAACAAAATAAATATACACATAAATTTATTTATATCTAAATAAAAAAAGACTTTAATATATATTTATAATTTTTTTTATTAGTAATAATATAATATAAACAAATCTATTTTTTATTTTTTATATTTTTTTATTTATACAATAGTTGTCAATAATAAAAACTATTATATTTATTTTTAAAATGGGGAGGAAAAATTTTCTAAAAATAAAAAAATAGAAATAATAATAGAAATAGCAGTCGTAATCACAATAATATAATAAATTATAATAATTATAATTCAATTATAAACAATAATAATAGTCTAAATTATAATATTGATTTAGCAACAATAGATAGTTTAATCGACAATAATATAATAGATAATTTAATAAACTCAGATCCTCATAGTTTTTCAAGTTTCACAGATGATTATATAGATTACCACGATGTAATTATCGATTTGGATTTTGGAGATTCAATCATAACAACATCAAATTTAATAATAACCAACAGTAGCAGTGGTAATGGTAGAATTGATAGTTTAGGAAGCAATAGTATACACAGTCATAACCATTCTAATAGTGGAGTATGTTCAAGCAGTAGTAGTGAATCATTGGATTGGAAGTGTTCCTCAGTTTTTGTTACATATAATATCAAGACAACTACAGGGGAGTGTTCAAAAGATGTATTATCGCAGGTTCAAAAAAGAATTAGTACGTTTAAAGGGTCAATGAAGATAGAACAGTTGGATTTATCATTAAAAGAGTTTAATTTTAATACAGACACTGATTTTATCTCAACTGTACTATCTAAAGAAATTCAATATAAAATAATGTCTTATTTATCAATTTATGATATATTGTCCATGTTTCGTAAGTTTTAAGGTTTATACTAATAAACACAGTAATTGTATTTAATATTAATAATATCATTTTTTATTCATTATTATAGAGGTCAACAAGTATTGGTATGAATTAAGTTTAAATAATAATTTTTGGAAAAGTTTATTAAAAAAAGATTTGGAAAAGTGGAGTAATAGGGAGGCAATTAAATTATCAATAAAGAATTTAGAGTCTAGATCTCTTCAACACGATATTTCATGGAAGAAATACTATGCTAATATACAAAGATTAAGATTATGCAAAAAGTGCGGAATTGTATATAGAGAATCTTCAAATTGTTTAACTTCCTGTTGTTATCATGCAGATATAAGAGATATTGTACATAGTCGTGGTGTCCCATCTGGTGTTTATTGGGTATGTATATGATTGTTAGTTTTTTTCTTTTATGGTTCCTTAATTAACCTTTTTTTTTTAATAACATTTTTAGATTTGTTGTTTAAGTAAGCCTAAGCAAGCTCCTGGTTGTACTATGAGCTGTCATGAAGAGGAAAATCAAATTGACTATCCATCTCCATTGTTAATTAGGCAATAATCAATTGGAAAAATTTATTGTATAAAAGGATCAATTTAATCAAATATTTTAATCAAATAGTTATATGTATATATTTATATAAGAGTTTTTTTTTTTTTTCAATTAATGTATATAAAAAGTTTGGAAGAAAAAAGAAAAAGAAGTTTAAATAAAAAATAAAATCATTATTTTTTAAAAATAATATAAAGATTTATTTGTGTGTATTGGTTTTAAATTATTTTATTTTTTAGAGGGTGGAGATACTTAATATAATTTTTGGATTTTTTGGTGTAGTTTGGAAAGATGAAGAGGAAAAGTTTTTTAAATTAATAATGTTTACTTGTAACTTTCCATTGTTAAAGTTTGTGATGGTGAGCCATTCATGTTTGAGTGTGGCAGAGAAATGTGGTTCGTTAATGTCAGCAACATTGGGGAATTTGAAAAGGACGGTGCTTGAGTTATCTTCAATCTTTCTCATAACAATTTCATTGGTATCACGGTGAGTTGTTAAAAGGTATCTGGTGGCATTAAACATAATTGGAATGGTTTTTTCAAATGGTTTGGAAACTTTAGAGTAGCAGTGGTTTTGTTTTGGGTTAACAAACTTATTGGTGGAGGCATCCATGAGGTCATAACCGACACATAATTCACCCTTGTTGTTTTTATTTCTGTACACATATGAGACATAGTTGGAGTTTGAATCATAGTCATATCCTGATGCAATAAAGTAGTCTTGGGCTTGGCTGAAAGAGGCTCTGATCTCTTTACTAAAGATTATAATATTATTAGTATAGTTGATATATTAGATTATTCAAATAAAAGTAGTTTACTTACTATGTTTGTTTTTCGAAATCTAATGTAATATATTTTAACCATCCATCATAATGACCCATTGCTACTAAAGTGTATGTGGATGTTTGTGTGCAGCAGCATTTGTTTGAGGTTATTGGTTGATAGCCATAGTCACGATAGTCATGTTCTCTATCGCTATAGATATAGGTAATGTTGGAAATAATTTTGTTAGTTTTGGTTTCTACATCATAGTAGTTTAAACAAAAGCCCATATCGGCATTATAGTTGATATATAAAATATTGTCAATATCAGTTGATATAACACTAATGGGTTTATTTACTGGGACAACAACTTCTTGTACAATACTATCATTTTTGAAATCTATATATTGGAAGGTTAATGATTTATCTGTTTTGATTGAGCTAACAATTAATTTTGGGGGAGCACAACAAAGGGCAGCTAAAAACAATGTTGAAAAAATAGTAATAAAAAGAAGCACTTTCATTTTGAATTTATTATCTGTATTGCAAAAAAGTAAAACAACTGTTAAAATTTTAGTTTTTTTTTCGTATTTATATTAAAAAAAAACATGAAAAAATACAAACATTTAATAAAATTACCTTATACTGGGTTTGGTCATTTTATCATTATTTGAAACTATTCGTTATTTTTTTACCAGTTTTCAAAATATTACTATATAATTGTTAAGATTAAGGTCAAAAAAAAAAATGGTAAATAAAAAAATTAAAAAATCAAAAAAATAAAATGAAAAAAAATTACCAGAAAAATTTTTTAATTATTTTTTTTTATTTATTTATACAAAAAAAAAAAAAGAGAATTTATAAAACAGGTGTGGTTTTTATTGTTATGATCAAGCAGATACTGGGAAAAGAAACGTAAAATCAAGGTGTAAATTTCAAAGAAAAATGATGGTGATATCAAAATTATAATTTTAATCAATAAAATAAGATAAAATTAAAAAGTGTAAAATAAAATAAATAAAAGTAAAGTGGTTTTTTTTATTTAAAATTTAATTTAATAAATTAAATAATAATAATGCATTTGCTTTAAAATCTATTAAATCTTTTGATGTGTATTTAAATGATGGTATTGGAACTAAACAATCGTCGTGGTTTGGATTTTTGAAAAAGTCTGGATTATTAAATTGATTTGAAAGATTAAATAACAACAACCATAGAGAATCAGGATCTTGTTTTAATAGAATATCACTCCAAATTTCGATTGTAAATTGTTGGAATAAATCTGGTTGGTTCCTATTTAGATAATATAGTGTATTTCTAGCGATTTCAAAAACCTGGCTTTGATACATCCTGCCAATTGTAGAAAGAATTGTTTTTAAAGTTTCCAAACATACATATTGTAATTTGAATGATGGTGTATATTTTAATTTATCTTTTTTGGCCTTATCTTGTTTTTGCTCTAGTGGTGACTTTTCATTTGTAATATCTTGAATTAATGGTTTCTTACTGGTTGTCGAGTATTCATTTATTTTGGATTGAATAACTGATGATGATGATGATGATGATGATGATGTCGATGCTTTATATGATTTAAAATGATTATTTTCTTGATAATGAATAGTTTGCTCTTCGACCAATATACGACGTATAATTGGCCATAAATGATCCCAAAATCTCTGTGAAATAAACTCCTCTGCTAAATTTGAAATGGTTTGAATTACCTTCAAAGATTTCTTACATACAACTCTATCGCCTTCTTCTACTCTTCTGACCAATGATCCCCAAACTTTGTGGATGAGTGGGAACAATGCAACTTTTTCTACATGCTTATCATTATTTGTTTTGATTGGATTAATATTGGAATCAAATATTGGCTCTGATCCATCTGTATTTACAATTTCCTCTTGTTCGTCATCATTACCACCATAATTTTTTGATCCAGTTGCAACAATAACCAAACCCATCTCTACTATATCGATAGTTGTCATTTTAATAGCCTTATTCTTTGAACCCATGAAATGAATACACTTTTGCACAATATCTTGAACGAGCAATCTTTGTACCTCGGTGGTTTCTTTATACTTTGGTATATTTAAAGATTCTGGTGTTATATTTGTTATTTTAATATCTTCTTTACTTTTACTATTATTCTTTGTATCGATATCTTTATAAAGCTCTTCAGTTTTTTCTTCATCTCTTAAAGAATGGTGATTTATAAAGAACTGTTTAATTTCATCAATTGATCTATTTTCTTTGACTTGATCCAAAACCTGTTGATCCTTTTCTATTTCTTGTTTTGATTTTTTATCTTGTTTTATTTTCTTTAAAACTTGTTGATATAAAAGCTCATGCTTTGAATTATTGTATAAAACTTTAACTATACTGTAGAGGATGGAAATGAATATTTGTATGTTTTTGGAGTTTTCTATGGCCAAGTCCAAAGCACCCAAAATCATTCTTACTGTATCTGAAAGAAATGGAAGAAAACCTAGACCAGTTATATTTAAAATACCTTCGAATATATTTGGTGTGTTTGGGAATGAATCTAAATACTTCATATGGCTTTCTATAGTATCTAAAAGGTAGTCTGAGTTTCGGTAGATGATATCTTCTATAGAGTAATATTCAAAGCAGTTCATAATATTCTCCAATGCAATCCTTGATGATTTCAATATCATTTTAGTGCTATCTACTGAGGACAAACCATATTTCTCTAAAAGTTGATAGATTACTTTACTTAGGAATATTTGACGATATTTAGTTGGTGATTTTGGTAATAAAGTTGTAAGTGTACCAATATTATCTATAACTAATGATATTGTTATTGTGTTATCATAATATTCTTCCAATAATGTATCTTTACTTGATATTGAAATTAAAGATTCTGACTGTTGTGTTGGTTGCTGTTGACTTTTAATTTGCCTATTCATTAATTGGTCCTGTTCTCTTGAAATTGTTAAATTTATTAAACTGGGTGATAAAATTTCATCTAAAATATATTGAGTGGTTGAAAAATCTAGTGATGAATAAATTTTATTTGCTTTCGCACCATCGGTATCACTTTGAACCTCTTTTGGATTTGAATTACCAATTAAAAGATGATTCAGGCAAAATAAAATCTCTTTTCTTTTTGGTGATGTAGATAGTAAACTATTTGATAAAAATATATCTATCCATTCTTTGATATCACTATATTTACCAATTAATTGAATCAACCTAATGACATCCCTTTCGATATTCTCACTATAAAAATGTAAAAATGGCTTTGATAGATTTGAAAATGAAATCAATAATGATTTTTTCTTATTTTCTAAAATCAATAAAAAAATGTACTATTTAATTAGTTATATTAAATGGTTAATAATGATAATAACAATAAAATATTTACCAAATGGGTTCTCTGAAACAATCCTTAAAGAATCTTCTAATGATTGTGATAAATTCTTGTTAGTTTCAAATGATGGTTGCTTTGGTGGAGGTGATTTCATTTCTACTAATGATAAAAGAGTGGTAGCTGTAATTTCCATTCTGCTTGAGAATAATAATGATGTAATATCATCTCCTAATAATAAAATATATGATATTAAAAGTTTTAAAACTATAGATTTCTTTTCTTCATCCAGTTGCATACTTGTTGGTATTGAGTCATTGGTCATTGAATGACTACAAATTAACATTCCCAAAGACTTGAACAAATGATTGAAATTATCTTGTAATATAAATTTAATATCTGCATATTCAATTGATTCTTTTTGATGTTGTTTATTCTTCTGATATTTTAACAAAATACTAATATCTGGATTTTGATTACTAGTTGTGCTATTGTTATCCAGTAATGAATATAAATACTTTTTAGTTTGGTCCACAATTTGTGGATAGTCATCATTGTAATGTAATACTAATACCTCTAGCAATATTGGCGCTAAACTAACTAAACATTTGCAATTCGATAATATTTGATAGGCTGATTTAATTAGTGCTTCTTTGTTTTTATATTTATCTAATGATATTTTGGAGGTGAGGATTGATTGGGAAGATTTTGAAAAAAGTGAATGTTGTGGTCGTAGTTTTGAATAAGAGTTTGATGTTGGGTAAAGTAAGCAGAATAAATTGAATAAATTGGACTCTGATAATTTAAAAGTATCTCTTTCACTATCATTCTTTAAAGACTCCCTAACCTTATCTGACATTGTATTTGATATCAAGTCGCTGAATAAATCTAGACATTGTACTTTTAATGTTGATCCTAATTTAAAATCACCAGAAATAACTTTGAATAAAGAGGAGATTGTAGCTGGAAAAATTTGAAATAAAATATTATAATATTCTAGATTTCTTGATAAAAATGGTTTTATTATATTATTTAATGTCAAAACTATTAATTTTTTAATATCTCTTGATAAATTATTTTTATTACTATTTAGCGATTCTTGATTCTTTTCATTTTGAAGCAATCCTAGCAGTGTTGAGATGGTGTATCCATATGGAACAAATTGGTCTCCGACTGTAAATGGATGCTTTTTATATAACTCTTTATTAAAGAAAGATTCTTCTGCACTATTATATAACTCTTTTATATTTTCCAAAATAACTAAATAAAACTCTTCCAAATTGCCATTATTACTATCGTTATTATTATTATTATTACTATTATTATTATTATTAATATTATTATTATTATTATTATTATTTAAAAAATTTAATAAAACTGTTAAAATATTTATAAACTTATTAAATTGATTAATTTTAACTCTTTTTAATAATTGTAACAATAGATTGAAAGACTGTAGTTGAACTGATTGTTTTTTGATGCAAAAAAGTACTTTCTGGTTCTGCTTTGAGAGGTTTGTTGGGTTTATTAACAATGACAAAGGTATCATCAAGTAATCGAAAATATAATTTAATGACCAATTATCATTGGCATACTTTTCAGTGGTAATATCAATAAGTTGTTGAATAAGTGATTTTATCTGCTCGATAATTTGTTTATTATCTTTTTTTTCGAATTTATTTTCATCAGTATTTGATAATATTGTTATTAGTTGATCGCATATTGGTTTATAATTATGAAATACATGATTTAATTTTAATTTTTCGCTTTGACTTAGTTGTGGTGTTGATATTGGTGAAGAAGATGAGGATGGTGAAATATCTGAATTATTATTATTATTATTACCAATATCAGACATCTATTTATTTTATTTTGTTTAATTTTTTATTCAATGAATAATTAAAAACCAAAAAAAAAAAAAAAAACCAAAAAAAATTTAAAAAAATAAAAAAAATAAAATTTAAATTAAAAAAAAAAAAAAAAAAAATTAATTTATCTTGAATGGAATGATTATGTTCATTTCAATATGGAATGATTTTCATAAAGAGTTTGTTTTATAATTTTAGATAAAATATTAATTAAAAAAAAAAAAAATTTATTATTAAAGACTAAAAAACTTTTTGAAGAATATGAAATTTTCAAAAAAATAGTGGGTATCAGATAGTATTCATTTAAATATTTTATTTGTAGTAATGTAGTGTAACTAACCATTTTTTTAGATTTAAAAAAACAGATACAAACAAGACCATCAAAAACCACCATAACCACCACCGCCACAACCTCAACCTCTTAGTAGATATATAAATTAGATAATTATTGATAGTAAAATAAAATTAAAAAAAAAAATGATTTAGAATCAAAAAAAAAAAAAAAAAATTAGAAACCATCCATAGAAATTAAATAAGAAGAATTTATCACATTATTCAAAATCAATGAAGGTAAAGATCCAATCAAAGTAAAAGACCTTCAAATAAATCTAAACCAATAAATTTTTTTCATTCTAATCAACTATTTGATGAATATCAGACATTGTTCTGGCCAAACAACTATGGTATCATCGAATAGTTTTAGATGAAGAAAAAATTTACAGGTTCCTATCTGGCAGCTTCCAAAACTTTAATAACTTGGCACAAGTTCCAATCTTCAGTAAATCCATAATGTCCAAGTATATAGTTGTGCGCTCAATTTATAGTTTTCTCAATGACCACCCTGATTTTTAGCTGCTGCTTTTATTTTATTTTTATTTAAATTAATCAAATAAAAATAAAGATATATTCTTTTATAAAATTTTTTCAATAAAAGTTTGAAATTAATTTAAAATTTTACATTCATCCCTATTTTAAAAAGTATTTAATATTTTCTTTAATTTTAAAAAAGTCATCATTAAAATAAAAAACAAATAATATATAAAAATAAAAATAACTTATAACCCTATATATTTTTAATAAATATACTTTGATTTTTTATTTAGTTTCATTAACGATTATTATTATATTTTATTATTAAGTTTACAACGAAATTTTAAATACATTTGCTTATGATAAGTATCTAAACTATAGTGATACACTTAAATTGCCATTGTTCAACTCTTACATAAAAGAAAAAATGATATTAAAACCTGCAGTTGATGTATTTAGATTTTGTGCCACAATTGCTTTAACATATGCCTTAATTGCAACCTTCAAAACTCCCAGTACTGCTATAAAGTATTAATGAAAAAAATTAATCTATATTTTATATTATCGATTATATTTATAAATATGAATGTATAAATTACTTATATAGATGTGATCAAAAGGTACTTCAATGAGGTTTTTATGAAAGAGAATCAATTTGATATTTGTGGTAGTATGGAAATAGAGGTCAAACAAAATGTAAAAGAATCTTCAATCACCTAAATCCTGTAAGTCAGCATCGCCGTGTTACCAAGACAGTAAAGTAGCTAGAGATATTCAGTACTGAGATATCCATATTAAAAAAAAGGTGAGTAAAACTACCAATATTAAATAAATTTTGAAATGCTAGCAAAACATATATATATTTTTTTTACATAATCACGCTCCACATATTATCATTGCCTCCATTTATTTTTATTTTATGCCAATAATACACATTGCCACTTTTTTTTAAAATAATTTTTATATTTATATTTTAATAATTTCAATTCAATTATATTTTTTAAATTTTATATTATTTAAATTTTTTTTAAAATTAAAAAAAAAAAAA